TAGGCCCAGTCCTGCCATATCAGTCTGATCCTCTGACACCGAGCACAAAATAAAGTAGGTAAAATATTCTTTCAATTGTCATTCATAAACCAGCCAGAGTGACTCTTATACAGCCATCTTTATGGGAAACTCAGGCTCTACTCCTGAACCTTTACCTTCTGTCAGGGAGTAATACAGAGGCAATATGGCTCCTGTCCAAGAAAGTAATGACAGGTGTCACCGTAAAGTCTGGCCAATTAAGGAACAGAAGGACGAGCTTAAAAAGGAATGCAGCCAGAAGGGTATAAATTAAGAGGAATATACATTTGAGAATGTGGTCCCTTTATGCTTAATTGAAATGCACAAGACCCCTGACAAAAGAAATGAGAATCATTTGTACCTATTTTAATTTATCCTCTAATCTACTCCTCTCTACTCTGCTAGATTACTGGGACAACATAAAATGTATTTGCTACATAGGAACTTACTTTGTTCTTTTATTAAACAAAGGAAACCCTTTCCCACAATATTTTTATAGTCTGTTTTAATATTTTTGGCTGACAATCAAAATGGGGGGAGGGAGAGGAGTAAGTTCCTCTTGCTCAATTCATACAGAAGACGACCATTTTATACCATTGGTTTCGGCTTGCTTTTCTGTATCTTAATTTTGAAATTCTGACCATTTTATTTGTTGACTTGTGGAAAAAACCAATGGGCTTTCTTCTGCCAGTCCACAAATATGTAACAGCACAAGAAAAAGAGGAAGCTGTACATTAATTAGAACAACAGAAATGTTGTCAGTCAGTAGGACTATCACATATTACATTGCTTTAATAAGGAAACCTTGAAAAATTATTGTAACTAACCCCAGATGCCTACTTGGCAAGTAGAAGCAGAACAAGGAGTGAACCTGATATTGAAGAGTTTGGTGCCAAACAGTCCATTATGTGATTGTTCTAACAGATGTAGACAAAATCCAGAAATAAGGAGGATTGATGGAGATGGGGAAATGTACTAGAGACACCAGGCTGGTGCCAAATGTGTGATGAATTAATGACGGGCCTGATCCTGGTTGCTACAAATCCAGAGGAAAGGGGATTCATTAAGTAAGAATGACTAGTAAATTTCTGTAAGACATTTTAGAACACCGCTAGGCCAATTTCTTTTGGTAGGATGGGAAGGAGGGACCAGGCCTTTCCTTCTCTTCAGACTTCTGTTGTCAGCTGGTAAAATACTGTGCATCCCTGCTGCTGGAGAGAGAAACAACTGACCCCGATGACTCACTAAGGCCCTTATGAACAGGGATGACATCACCAATAAGGTCAGTGTATTGTCTCCATCTGGTAGCAAGGGAGGAACTTACCCAAGTGTCAAGATTAGAAGAGAAGACTGGATAGAAAGCAAGCATTTTTAAAAAAGAGATGTAATTGCAATGTTTTTGATGAAAGTTGACTTGACTCAGACTTCCTATAAATCTGGTAGGAAAGTCTTCCCGTATTTGGGATAACCAGAAAAAAAAAAATCCTTCTATCCGCCAAATCCTTCCTTTACTTTGAAGGACCAACTTTCAGTTGCTCCGAATTTTTGTTTCACTAACTGATCAGTTGTGGAGCTCACTGATTTAGTTAACGCAGCGAAATAAAAATTGGATATAGGTGTGGTAAAGCTAGGTGAATGCCAGTGGCCTGACAATTATAGGACATTTTCATTTGTGGCACAGAACTTTTGATGTCCTGTTAAAATTAAAGTGAGAATTGCCCTCTATTTGTAATAGTTCTTCTGGAAAAAATCTATACTGAAAACCGGAGTCAAACAAACTAGAGGAATGATTACTGATGACCCAGCTATGAAACAAGGGAGAATGTATTTTGCAATCAACAAGATTTATTTTTAAAAAAATCATACTCTAAAACTGTCATAGGCTTGGTGGTCTCAGACAAATTTTACTCAAATTTCTTTGTTTTGTTTTTGTTTTTTACTTGTAAGAAGCCTGTGAGGAAGAATCTTTACAAGATAAACTAAGTTTACCTATGCTTATGCTCCAAAAAAGTAAGCTACATCACAAAGTATCTTTGAACAAACTTCTGTTTGAGTCAAACAATTCCATTAGAGAATGCAATTCCAAATGTAGAAACTAATGTAACATTCATGCATTCTGAAACACCTGAACATTTTGTCTAGAGTTCTTACCACCAAACCTGACCCATGTGTTAGCACTGATTCATCACATAACAAAGAATAAGAATGGAGGGAAGTTAGTGGAAAATTCTCTTGTTACTAATAAGACTTCACCCCAATTAACCTCTTATTTAAGCAACTAACATGCAGTGAAGCATATTTACTTGGTGTAAGCTGGTTACAAGTTTTAGCTAAAAAGCATAAAGTAAACAATGGATTTTTAAAATTTTGAGTCAGAATCCTTTGGCTATAAAAATGCTGAGCTGGGACTGTGTTTTTTTCCTTTCACTATGTTTTCTCCTGATACCATAGTTAGTAATAGCTACTATCTTTTTGGTCAAAATGGTCAGTTTCTAAATGTTTAAAGAGGAGGCAATTATGTCAATCAGAATCTCTTCCCAAAAAAAGACATACCACTGACTCTTTAGGGGTAGACAGATGCCAGTTCCACTGGGTATTCAAACTGTGTGCCCAAAAAGGAGCAATCTATTCTCTAGACCCTACATGTCCTACGGTCTTTACAGAAGGAACACTCTTCTCCATGGCACATCAGATAATTCCAACTGATACAACAGAAGATTTGAAACTCCAAATGAAGATCATTAACACGATTCGTTGTCCATTCTGAAAGAATTTTATATAGAATTTGTTTCATTTAGTTTCAAATTTATGCCAAGAATACTTGGAAGGTAAAGTTGTTCTGATTTACAGTAGCAAAGAAGAAGTGGAACCGCTAAACACAGAGGATGGAGTGGAGGTCAAGGATAATCTAGGCATGGCCCAATATCTTAACAAATACTTTGCCTCAGTCTTTAATAAGGCTAAAGAGGATCTTAGGGATAATGGTAGCATGACAAATGGGAATGAGGATATGGAGGTAGATATTACCATATCTGAGGTAGAAGCAAAACTCGAACAGCTTAATGGGACTAAATCGGGGGGCCCAAATAATCTTCATCCAAGAATATTAAAGGAATTGGCACACGAAATTGCAAACCCATTAGCAAGAATTTTTAATGAATCTGTAAACTCAGGGGTTGTACCGTATGATTGGAGAATTGCTAACATAGTTCCTATTTTTAAGAAAGGAAAAAAGTGATCCGGGCAACTACAGGCCTGTTAGTTTGACATCTGTAGTATGCAAGGTCTTGGAAAAACTTTTGAAGGAGAAAGTAGTTAAGGACATTGAAGTCAATGGTAAATGGGACAAAATACAACATGGTTTTACAAAAGGAAGATCGTGCCAAACCTACCTGATCTCCTTCTTTAAGAAAGTAACAGATTTTTTAGACAAAGGAAACGCAGTGGATCTAATTTACCGAGACTTCAGTAAGGTGTTTGATACCATGCCACATGGGAAATTATTAGTTAAATTGGAAAAGATGGGGATTAATATGAAAATTGAAAGGTGGATAAGGAATTGGTTAACAAGGAGACTACAGCGGGTCCCAGTGAAAGGTGAACTGTCAGGCTGGAGGGAGGTTACCAGTGGAGTTCCTCAGGGATCAGTTTTGGGACCAATCTTATTTAACCTTTTTATTACTGACCTCGGCACAAAAAGTGGGAGTGCGCTAATAAAGTCTGCGGATGATACAAAGCTGGGAGGTATTGCCAATTTAGAGAAGGACTGGGAAATCATACAGGAAGATTTGGATGACCTTGTAAACTGGAGTAATAGTAATAGGATGAAATTTAATAGCGAGAAGCATAAGGTTATGTATTTAGGGATTAACAACAAGAATTTTAGTTATAAGGTGGGGACGCATCAATTAGAAGTAACGGAGGAGGAGAAGGACCTTGGAGTATTGGTTGCTCATAGGATGACTATGAGCCGCCAATGTGATACGGCCGTGAAAAAAGCTAATGTGGTCTTGGGATGCATCAGGCGAGGTATTTCCAGTAGAGATAAGGAGGTTTTAGTACCGTTATACAAGGCACTGGTGAGACCTCACCTGGAATACTGTGTGCAGTTCTGGTCTCCTATGTTTAAGAAGGATGAATTCAAACTGCAGCAGGTACAGAGAAGGGCTACTAGGATGATCCGAGGAATGGAAAACCTGTCTTATGAAAGGAGACTCAAGGAGTTTGGCTTGTTTAGCCGAACTAAAAGAAGGTTGAGGGGAGATATGATTGCTCTCTATAAATATATCAGAGGGATAAATACCGGAGAGGGCGAGGAATTATTTAAGCTCAGTACCAATGTGGACACAAGAACAAATGGATATAAACTGGTCATTGGGAAGTTTAGACTTGAAATTAGATGAAGGTTTCTAACCATCAGAGGAGTGAAGTTTTGGAATAGCCTTCCAAGGGAAGCAGTGGGGGCAAAAGACCTATTTGGCTTTAAGATTAAACTCGATAAGTTTATGGAGGAGATGGTTTGATGGGATAACATGATTTTGGTAATTAATTGATCTTTAAATATTCATGGTAAATAGGCCCAATGGCCTGTGATGGGATGTTAGATGGGGTGGGATCTGAGTTACTACAGAAAATTCTTTCCTGGGTATCTAGCTGGTGAATCTTGCTCATATACTCAGGGTTTAGCTGATCGCCATATTTGTGGTCGGGAAGGAATTTTCCTCCAGGGCAGACTGGAAAAGGCCCTGGAGGTTTTTTGCCTTCCTCTGTAGCATGGAGCACAGGTCACTTGCTGGAGGATTCTCTGCTCTTTGAAGTCTTTAAACCACGATTTAAGGACTTCAATAGCTCAGACATAGGTTAGAGGTTTGTTACAGGAGTGAGTGGGTGAGATTCTGTGGCCTGCGTTGTGCAGGAGGTCAGACTAGATAATCATAATGGTCCCTTCTGACCTTAGTATCTAGGAATCTATTCATACTTGCCTCAAAAATCAAAAGGATCCTGCTGTCCCGAAGATAACGTTCATAGGGGTAATCTTTCATATAGCCAAGGCCTCCAAGAACTTGTAAAGCTTCACTTACACAAATCCAAGCACCTTCAGAACTAAATACCTGCCAAAAGCACAGTAAAGTTGGCATCTACTGTCGCAGTAATTAAAGTTAAACAGAAACTAGATTGCTTTATTCTTATATCCTAAGTCAAAAAGAGGGATAAGACTAAGAATGAATTGGGATTAACTGTTTATATAAACAACTTGCAAAATATGTATTTTGCAGTGGCTTTCATCCGAGACAATTTAAAGTTTTCTGTGATTGCACTGGTTACAGTACATGGGAAGTGCACTGATCCATAAAAATTAATGTTCAAACTGAACAGCCACTCCAAACTCCATATCACAAAAACAACATGGTAATTCTCTATTAGGATAGATGAACACAAGACAGCAGAATTACTTTCAGCCTGCTTTAGAGATTAATCCATGCTAGAGGACTGATGCTACCTTAAGAAAATAGCTACTTGTATTCAGACTACAGAAAGACAAACAACATACTTAACATTTCTATAGTACCTTCCATCCAAAATCTCACAGTATTCTACTGCCCAAAAATCTCAAACTTAGTCTCTTTCATCCTTTTAAAAAGAGGATTGACTTTGTGCCATGCTGGCTCCTCCTTTCCCCTAGGTCACATGGAAACTCCACTGTGAGCTCCCTGGGGATTCAGATCCATGAACTGGGAGAGAATGGAGCAGACCACTCAACAGTTTAAATCTCCCCAAATTCACATGTCCAGGAAGCAAGTTACTTTGGACTGAGCACGTAGTAACATAGGTTCACCTTCTAGGTAGTGGAAAGCCTTCAGTTCTCAAGAAAGCTTTGCCAGTTAGCAACATTCTGAAAACTAATTTAGGAAATGCTGGAGAGATCAACAGTAAAGCCCTGAATTGTATCCTTTTACATATTGCCAGCCAGTACAGAGGGCAGGTCTGACTCCCTCCCTCACCCCTATCCTAAGGGAGCAAGGGAGCAGCTGCATTCTGCACGTTTCCCAGCTTCTGAGTCAATTTCAAGGAAAGCCAGGACAGTGGGTCCTTACTAGTTACATTTTAACTGGGTGGGGTGGTCCATGCCTGGAGAAACACCTGGATACTGTTGTCTTTGACGACTGTCACAATACAGGCCTCTCACAATTGGAGACAGGTTTCAGAGTAGCAGCCGTGTTAGTCTGTATTCGCAAAAAGAAAAGGAGTACTTGTGGCACCTTAGAGACTAACCAATTTATTTGAGCATGAGCTTTCGTGAGCTACAGCTCACTTCATCGGATGCATGCCGTGGAAACTGCAGCAGACTTTATTTATACACAGAGAATATGAAAAAATACCTCCTCCCACCCCACTGTCCTGCTGGTAATAGCTTATCTAAAGTGATCATCAGATGGGCCATTTCCAGCACAAATCCAGGTTTTCTCACCCTCCACCCCCCCACACAAATTCACTCTCCTGCTGGTGATAGCCCATCCAAAGTGACAACTCTTTACACAATGTGCATGATAATAAAGTTGGGCCATTTCCTGCACAAATCCAGGTTCTCTCACCCCCCTCCCAAAAACCACACACACAAACTCACTATCCTGGTTTTTGGGAGCGGGGTGAGAGAACCTGGATTTGTGCAGGAAATGGCCCAACTTTATTATCATGCACATTGTGTAAAGAGTTGTCACTTTGGATGGGCTATCACCAGCAGGAGAGTGAATTTGTGTGGGGGGGGTGGAGGGTGAGAAAACCTGGATTTGTGCTGGAAATGGCCCACCTGATGATCACTTTAGATAAGCTATTACCAGCAGGACAGTGGGGTGGGAGGAGGTATTTTTTCATATTCTCTGTGTATAAATAAAGTCTGCTGCAGTTTCCACGGCATGCATCCGATGAAGTGAGCTGTAGCTCACGAAAGCTCATGCTCAAATAAATTGGTTAGTCTCTAAGGTGCCACAAGTACTCCTTTTCTTTTTTCACAACTGGAGAGGAATCCAATGTCATCCCCAAATTCCACACCTGCTGACTTTCTATTTGCACCCCTACTCCCTAAATACAGGGAGTATGTAAGCAGGATCCTCAGAACAATTCCCCTTGCCCACCGGCAACACTTCAATCTTGTGTCAGTCTGTCCGACAGTGAAAGAACAGCTCTATGCTGCTCTGTGTAAAGTCAAATTTGAGAAGAGCTGAGGAAATTGGAATATTCAGTATCTTTTTGCAAGACCCATTTGGATGAGGACTGAATTTCAGAAGCTCTCTCTCTTCACTATGTGCATAGCCAAGATTTGTATGTGGCAATGTCAAAATGCAGCTGCTTTTGGAAATTCTGGGGGGATTAAAGTACTTAGGCTACCTGTACGAGAGTGTTTCATAGGAAGACAAGAGCCTAGATCAGGCCCTGAAGGGCCACCAAAGTGAGGGTGAGAGCGAAAACAAACCATGCTCTTTACAAGTTCTTGTATCACATCCACCACTGTGGTGTCTGAATGTCTCGGATAAGAGGCTACAAGTTCAAACTGTATCAGAAATAGAAGTTTTAATTTAAATGTTATTCTAATGTTTTATGCCTGGTCTTTTTCAATAAAATGGATTACCTTAACCATAGCTGCCTCAACTGAACAATCGGGCACTCCTGGCCTGTCCATCATTCCTGCAGTGAGGTAAGCCATGCTCTCCATTACATATGCTTTCACAGCCATAAGGGTAAACTTCTCCTGCCAAATAGCAAACAAACATTTACCATCCATACATTTAGATGTAGAGTTGTTATAGTCAGATCAGCAGTCATAATAAAATTTAGTGCATAACTAAGAAGCTTTTATACGTATTACAACATTAAATATTAAATGCTATTTAGAATACCTAATAGCAATTGTATTTGTACGAAAAAACTTGAAAAAGTTTTAAGTTTGATACATTAATACTTCTATATATTCAAAACATCAGAACACAAGTTTCTAAACTAAATTTATGCAGATTGAATACCATGCATCTAGCAATCCAGCAACATTTTTTTAAACCAGTAGCTGCAACAAAATCCTTCTCCCACCCCTTATTCAATAAACAAATCATGAAAACCACAGGCTGAGAGAATCTTCTAACATAGGCTTTCAGTTTCTTGATTACCTGTATTAATCCAAAATCACTCAGTTTCTTATTGAACTGTTTTCTTGTACAAGCATACTCTGCTGTCATTTCTTAAAAAAAAAAAAAAATAGAGAGAACACATCAATGAGTGGAATCTTTTTTAAAAGGTATTTAAAATAACTCATTGAAACAACTCAATTGTTCCCTGAATATGTAATCTCAGCTGTATGGTATATCTTACATAATTAAATCTATTCCTTTAGACATCTATTTCCACCAGTAAATATGTTGTGTTGATGTAAATCTGATGACAAGATTCAAACTTAGACTGCATTGATGCAAAACAATTGCCTGAAAGATTCCTCTAACACATAACAACATGCCATCAGCAGAGGGGAAGTTGTGAGAACATAATCTGTACTCTGTTCTGCTATAAACTACAATGGACTGAGGATGCATGAAAGTATTAAAAACATGCAATTTTTTATTTTAACTTTTTAGAAGCAAAGAGTGGTAGCAGCAATGCGATTAAAATGCAGCTCCTTGGGATACAGAAAAAAGCCTTATTACAGGAGAGAAATCCTATCAACAGTTCTTTCATACACCCCTAGTTGGGGATTACATCAAAATGACCCTTTTTCATACAAAGTGTTACACCACACAACCGCTTTGTGGTATTTTTGCTATTCTGGAATCATTTACTGTTTATGAAATAGCTTCTGAGCAGGCAGTGATGTTAATTAATTAGTTAGTTACTCTTACTGGAATTTACCAGCTGAATGATTCTTTAAATTCAAAAAAAGTGATTTATGTCACATAAAGGATTTGGTGTGTAAGTATACAATGAACACCTTTATCCAGGTTCCTACAAATGCAAGCCTTCAGATCTCTGAGACTATGCATAGACTTCTGTACGATAAAACTTAAGTTTCTATCTAACTAGTATGTAGGTTCTATGCCATGCGATATCTAATCACCTTCCAGTAGTTCTTTAAGCAATGTGACTAACATCAGTTCACTAGATTACGATAACTAGAGCTGGTCAAAAATTCTTCAAGAAGCTGATTTGACAGAATAGAAATGTTCTGCAGGAACATGTTGATTCTACCAAAACTTTCCATGGAAATGAGGCAGGCAGGCCGGCCAGCTTGCCTACCTGGTTTCCTGCCTGCCCGGCTCCCCTGCAGCCCACCACCAGCCAGGATGCTGCAGAGGCAGATATCCCGGGTAGCATATTTTGTTTAGAAAATTAGCATTTTAGCATTTTATGGACAAGTAACCTTTAGTGTTAGCCAGAGTCTAAATTTTCAGTTCTAGAGTCCATATCTGAAATGAGTGCTGTTATTACAGTGTCTTTGGAAGACGTGACATCTGTCTTTTCACAGGGTATTAAGTTTTCTTTTGTAATGCAAGGACTGATGATTTCATTCCTCCCAGAAATTCAGTAAGCTTCATTTTACCTACCGATCAGTTTCTTAATCATTCCTGCAGATGCACTACCCATGCTAAATCTTCCACTGTTTAGGATATTCATAGCTACCTACAAGAAGAAATACAGGCCTTTATTCAATAAGTTATACTTTCAGTAAAATGTACTCCATTTTGTAAAATGCCACAGCTTTATGTTGGTAGATACCAATGCACCTCCAAAAATTCATTATGTTCCTCTACAGAAAGTGTACCAAAAAGGAATAAGGGTTAAGTTAGCTACAGATATCCTCAAAACAGAATTCAGAGAGAACACATCAGATGAAGGACATTTTCTTCAGTGAATGCCTACTCATACTCTACAGAGAAACCCCACATTAAAAACACTTAGTTTCATTAGCAGCTGGCTCTTTTGTCATTGAAGATGTTACTTCTGATAGTGGAAAAGGATGTCTCTCTCTTTAGCATTTAACTATGCCTTTGCAATAAACACTTTTAGAGCAGTTTTATAGAAGTTGTTCCTTTGAATTTTCACTAATGAAATGTGAGCTCACAGATTGGTTTATGAGGTTAATACAATTAAAATATTACTATGCATTATTCATTTTAAATTACTACATGGCAGACCCCAAAGCACAAGAAACCTGGTGCCTCAGCAAGTGACAAGCATTTTGCATGAGCAATTAGTAGCAGAAAATACCAATTGGTGGCCCAGACAGGTTTTTAACAGTGTTTCACCAACGGAGCACAGCAGTTAAGTGTTACACAAAAAAGTGTTCTACTTAGAGAAACGATTGAATATCAGTAGGACCCTACCAAATTCAGGGTCCATTTTGGTCAATTTCACAGTCACGGGATTTTAAAAAAATAATGAATTTCATGATTTCAGCTATTTAAATCTGAAATGTCATGGTGTTGTAATTGTAGGGGTCCTGGCCCAAAAAGGAGGTGCATATGTGTGTGTGTGTGTGGGGGGGTGTCGCAAGGTTACTGTAGGGGTGTGTGCAGTACTGCTACCCTTACTTCTGTGCTGCTGCTGGCGGCGGCGCTGCCTTCAGAGCTGCGTGGCTGGAGAGCAGCGGCTACTGGCTGGGATCCCAGCTCTGAAGGCAGCACCGCCGCCAGCAGCAGTGCACAAGTAAGGGTGGCAGTACTAAGTCATCCTTACTTCTGCATTGCTGCTGGCAAGGCACTTCTTTCAGAGCTGGCCGCCCAGCCAACAGCTGCTGCGCTCTGGCCGCCCAGCTCTGAATACCGCAATCTCCCTAAAATAACTTTGCAACCCCCCTGCAACTCCCTTTAGATCAGGACCCGCAATTTGAGAAACGCTGGCCTCCCCTGTGAAATCTGTATAGCACAGAAAAGACCAGATTTCATGGTCCATGACGTGTTTTTCATGGCCATGAATTTGGTAGGGCCCTAAATATCAGGCTGCCTTATTGTCTCTAGAGGTGTCTCATTTTAGAACAGTACAACCCTCAGGGCTTCAAAGATTAATGTATGATTGTGCAGACCACACTTTTCATCCTGTGCCCGTACTCAGTTCACATGGCTAGAGAATCCTGCTATGCAGGGCCAGACCTCCTTCGCTTAGCTCGAGGCCAGCCAACTACCTAGAAAATTTGGGGTATTAAGCTTGCTTGTCTCTCATCTTTCACTACTCTATACAACAAAGGAATAGAGGTGGGGGAAGTCTTCAAGTCACACTGGATTATTTTCACTTCTACCTCCCCCTACTCCCATTGGTCTCTCTCTGGCTAGCATACATTAAGAGACACAGCTACTCTTGAAGGAGGTAGAGGCAGCCATTCTGTGTAGTAGCTGGTGCACAGGAGGCAGGATAGGCTTTCATGGAAAGGAAGGCGCTTATTCTCAGCAAAGGTCAAGAGTCACAAATTACAGAGAACAAGTTAAGGGTTAGAACAGAGACGTTCTATGTATGTAGTGGATGTTAATCATTTTCCCAAAAAATGAAGTTTGTGTCCAGACCATTGCAGCATAAAGCCTATTTAAAATAGATTAACTTCCTCTTCAAACTACATTATATGCAATTATTCAGTTTGGGCCCTTTTATTAGAAACAAGAATAGAGTAAGTTAATAAAATAATATCCTGTGTTTCCAGAGCTATGATGCATAATAAAGAAGAAAAATCCTGAAAGTTGGGGAGGGAAAGGAAAAAAAAAAATCCATGAAGCTCACTAGGATGGAAAACATATCCATTAGATGCATACCCTATAGAAGAAAATAGTATGCGCACAATTCCTTATGCTAGGAGCCTACAGGTAACAGTGACAGCATAAGAAAAATAAAAAGAAAAGGAGTACCTGTGGCACCTTAGAGACTAACCAATTTATTTGAGCATGAGCATGCTCAAATAAATTGGTTAGTCTCTAAGGTGCCACAAGTACTCCTTTTCTTTTTGCGAATACAGACTAACACGGCTGTTCCTCTGAAACCTGTCATAAGAAAAATAGAAACCTACTTATAATCAGAATCATGATATTTTTCAGTCCTTAGGAATTTCATTGTGCATCTAGCAAAGGTGCTTAGAATCATGACCAATAACAGAAAATAGGAATGAATAATTATATAATACAAGGTTGTAGATGAATACAGGAGTGCATCTCTTAACTGGTAAGGTAGAATACCCATAACTTAGTGCATTAGTAAGTGCATGACAAAAAAATTCAAGTTACTAAGGCAATGCTTGCTTGAGTTGTTGGAATGATATATCTATACACTGCTCATAGCTGCTGGTTAAAAAGAAAGGGAGCATGAAGTGGAGAACAGAACCTTTTCTTGCATAATCTCATTCTTCCTCCCAATTCATGGACTATATTAAGAAACCTGGGCTGGAAAAGCATCTGCAGAAGTTTCCCGAAAGCTCAAAGTCTTGTTTCTCCATAGCTTTCATTATTTAAGTGATAATCATGTGACAGTCAAAGAATTATCCATGAAAGCAAAAGAAGTCTCACTATCAGAGATTTTTACTAGGAAGCACCCAAAAAATGCACTCCACTCAGTTAGCACTTGTGGTCTCTAAACTGCTAGAGCAAGCTTGTATAGGTGATGGTCCTTCCCTCCCAAAGGATAGACAGGTGAGGGGCATTCCAATTCCAAAATAAAGAAAAAAAAATGTCTATGAAGCGGACCTTAACTACTGCCAAAGAGTCAGATTACTGAGGAAAGATTAAAGCAATGTGGAAACCAGGCACAGCTTTAATGCCCTCAAACACAGGGCCGGGTCTAGGCACCAGCAAACCAAGCACATGCTTGGGGCGGCCCTTCTCAAGGGGCGGCATTCTGCCCCCCCCCCTTTTTTTTTTGCACTTCGGCCGCACTCCGGCTTTTTTTTTTTTTTTTTGCACACGGGGAGGGGGAATGGGGGGGCAAAAAACCTAGAGCCGGCCCTGCTCAAACAGCACCCATGCTGCAGACAAAAAGGCTGTCTTTAAAAAAAAAAAAAGCCAGTTATATATACAGAATATTGATACATGGACATCAAAACCTAAATGTTATTAAAGGGGAGGGAAATGTAACTTGGAACACTGTGTTCAAAATTAGTGCACATATTTTGTTAAAATGTTTCAGGTGACTGAAAGAACAACATCTGTGCTTGGCAAACAAAGTAAGCAAAGGTCACATCTCATCAAGCTGAAACCATTACAAATTCAGGATTCAGAAGGCTACACTAAATATATCCAGGAATAAGAAGGTCTGGATCTTAACTTCATGTTTCCATTTCTCCAGATTTCATTGTTGCACTAAAATTGAAACATTTAACATACAGGAATGATAATCCTGAAGTTTTGCACAAAAGTCCCTCTGAAAATGCTTTAATATAGCTCTTCAGACTAAGGCTTTGTACATGCAAACATTAAGTTTGCAGCAAGCTGGGGTGTGAATCTATCCGCATTAGCCTGCCGTGGACTTAGGGTCTTTCTACACTAACACTTTTGTTGGTATAACTCATGTTGCCGGGGGTGTGAAAAAACCTGAGTGACATAAGTTACATGGACAGACGTGCCAGTGTGGACAGCGCTATTTCGGTTGGTGACACTCTCCCGCTGACATAGCTACCTCAGTTCATTGGAGGTGGTTTAATTATGTCATCGGGAGAGCTCAGTTCCTTTGTACTAGATAGACTCCAACAGAGATGGGAAGGGGGAGGAGGGTTAGGGAATAGATATGTGCAACATGTTGAAGAACAGTTACAGAAAGGTAGGCAACCATTTATCCTGCGAGTACTTGCACATGTCCATTCCGTTGTAGGGGACTCACAAGCAGACAAATATGGTGGTGTGCCCTGAGACTACCTGAACAGTGACTGAAAGACAACCTGCCCCAAATTGGCAAATAGCATAATGAGAAGCAAAAGTGTGACAAAGTCACCACTTTACAAATGGCTATGATAGGCACTAGCATCAGGAAAGCCCAGAAGTTGCCTGTGCTCTAATAGGGCAAACCAAAACTCTAGCTGGCAGAGCTATATTAGAAAAGCGATAACAAACGAATGCAGAGAGAGATCCAGGATGAAAGGTCCTTAGTCTTGTCTGCAACCACAACTGTGTGGAGGATCTAAAGGAATGAGTACACTCCAAGCAGAAGGCTAAACCCCTTCTCACATCCAATGAGTGAAGTCTCTCCTCATCTCTATGTGCAGAAGGTTTCAGGAAGATCAGCAGCATGAAAATCAGACATTACCTTAATGAGAAATTGAGTGAGGATGAGATGAATTTTATAGAAAACCATATAGGGATGCTCTCACATTAGGGCTTTCAACTTGCCCACCTTTCTGGTGGAGATAGTGGCAACTACAAATTCTACTTTCATAGAGCGGTGGAGCAGAGAGCAAGTTGCAAGACGTTCAAATGGCAGTCCCATTAACTTTGCTAGGACCAAGTTCAGATCCCAAAGAGGGATAGGATCTTGCACATATGGATACAATGTGATCAAGGCCTTTAGGAATCTGGTAATGATGGGGTTGGAGAAAAGGGATCTACTATCCACCAAGGTATGGAAGGCTGAGATACAGAGTTAGTCAACAAAGCTGATGTTTTAGGTATAGAGGACAGTCTAGTACAAGGTCCAGGGGTGCATGTTTTGGCGAT